ACCTTCTCTGTAATATCTACCACACCACATCTTCTGATCTCTTCATTCCATAATGTCTCTGACCAGCTCTCCTTCATCTCTTCTTATTACATGTCCATACTATCTCAGCCATGCTTCCCTCATCTCTGCAATTTCTACCACCTCACATCTTCTGATCTCTTCATTCCATAACGTCTCTGACCAGCTCTCCTTTATCTCTTCTTATTACGTATCCATACCATCTCAACCTTGCTTCCTTCACCATCTCTGCAATGTCTACCACCTCACATCTTCTGATCTCTTCATTCCATAACTTCTCTGACCAGCTCTCCTTCATCTCTTCTTATTACATATCCATACCATCTCAACCTTGCTTCCCTCACCTTCTCTGCAATGTCTACCATTCCATGTCCTCTTCTCATTCCATCCTGACCTGATCTCCTTCATCTCTTCTTATTACATGTCCATACCATCTCAACCTTGCTTCCTTCACCTTCTCTGCAATGTCTACCAATCCACATCTTCTGATCTCTTCAATGAGGGATCCAACCCAACATTCGCATCACCATCCACCTCATCAAGTCTTTTCGAAAAAAGAACCCAGTTTGGACATGGTTATTTTTCCGTTTCCAAAGATCGGTTGGTGGTCTGAGAGTGTCTTTGTACAACGCAGTGATGCTACACGAAGTTGAACATTTGATAGAATTCATGAAACATTTCCAGGAAAAATACAGCAAGTAAAAACTGTCGACAAGCGACGGACATCAATAGAAAATAATTTGGTTTATGGTCTCATAAAATAATGTCTCTCACACTGCAATATCAGCACCATATGGAAATAATATCGCATATACGTAATATATATTACAAAATACAGGTTCCAATTGTCTTCTAAAGGTCTCGCAACCTCTGGGCATGAAAAAGCATATTGGGGTGTGTGTGTGTGAAAAAGCACAATTGGGGGAAAAGCACAATGGGGATGGAGTGTTGTAATTATGAGATTGGTTAAGTATGTTAGCACTATAGTCATGTTTTGCTAATAAAACCGCCGCCCCTGCTTGGAGGTCCTATGATACACTGCAAATGACACTCTATCTATTAGAAATTATTTTGTTGTCAAAAAGCGGAGATAACAACTTTGTATTCATTGTAAATGGAAATTTTGGTTCGGGTATACAGTGTGTATAAAAAAAAACTGAACCCTTTTAAATTCAAATTAGCTATAACGTATTGTAGTAATTTGACAGCTCTAATTGCTTTGAATTAATGTGGTTGGGTAAGAACACAAGGTCTTGTACTCATGGGACGAAACTCGAAGAAATAAAAATTAGAAAATTTAAAAGTTTTTAAGAGTTTTGTCCCATGAGTACAAGACCTTGTGTTCTTACCCAACCATTAATTCAAAGCAATTAGAGCAGTCAAATTACTACAATACGTTATAGCTAATTTGAATTTGAAAGGGTTCAGTTTTTTTATACACCCAGGGTGTCCCAAAAAACCCGAAAACTATTGAAATCACTATTGTTTAAATTTGAATGCCCTTCCAAACAGTTGAACGTAATGATGCGTAAAATATTGACAAGATGGATGTATTAAAATTTAGTTAAAAACATCTTCTTGTAAAGTACGCGATTTTCTGCTCTTGGGAATTTAAAACAGCTTCTTAAACAGTTTCTTTATGCATAAAATTTACTTATGTCAATCATTTATGCACAGATGCACTCGTGGGAACCAACAGAGTGCTAAGGCATTCAAATTCTAACAATTAAATTGTTATTGGTGATTTCAATAGTTTTCGGGTTTTTTGGGACACCCTGTACAGTATACTGTACATCTACTGTGAGTTATAAATGCTAATATGTTTTTGAAAAGTATCCGGTGACATTTCAAGGTCACTGGGGTTAATACAAAAAATAAATACAAGATGCATGTCCGCACAGATTTTAATATACTGCTGCGATTACGCTTTCACCTCTTGTCACTTTATAGCCTACAACAATATTAACATGGTTTAAGTTTAACACTTTAACCTTATTCAAAGTTTCCATCCATAATCAACCAGGCGCGGATCCAGTAGTTTTGTTGACTGATGCACTAAACCTCACACTTGTAGGGGGGTCCGGGGGAATCCTCCCCCGGGAAATTTTGAAATCTAGGACCTCGGAAATGCGATTTCCTGCGTTCTGAAGGAGCTTTTCTTCGAAGTTCACACATCAAAATCGAAACGTCATTTGCTGGATTTTCGGGACAAAAACGTAAAAAATCGGCCTTATAGAGTGAGAACAACATAATCATGGAGTTTTATCAGAACGAAACTTGACTAGCCTTATTTATTTGATCCTATTTGAGTGAGGATTATAGAGTAGCAAAGTTGTAGCTATAATTTACAATTTTACATACAAGTGTGCACTACTTACATGTACACAACATACTGATAGAATAATGGAAAGCAAAACCACAGACATTTTTTCTGTGTAAAATATGGTGCAAATGACATGAAAAGTTGATCAGGGTTGTGTTTCTTATGCAAAATAGATAAGAATACTTCAAGCAAACTATTATATTCATTGCCAATGATATCACTTCCTGTAACTTATCACTTCCTGTTATCAGTTAACACCAATCAATATAACAATGTTCCAGGTCAAATGCCTCCCAGCAGCACCACCATGACATAAATTCCAGTTAAATTATTTTAATAATCCAGGATTAATTCCAGGGCAACCTTGAGTTATTGTATATGAAGGCCCTCTCTGGAGCTATAGTCACTCTAATATTTATGGATGCATTTATATCCAACATTTTGACAAATGCAGTTTGAATTTTTAAATACTGTAAGATTATCAAAGTATTCAAGGGTGTTAGGTAATAGTTTTCATTGTTGCTGAGCAGTTAATAATAAAAATAAACAATTATTGAAACTATTTGCAGAAAATAGATTATTCTACTGTATTTGAAGTCTGGATATCTACAATACATTGACCAATATATCTCAACAGATTTTGCATTGATTCCCAAATGACAGTACATTCAGGAGAGTGTCTAGGACTACTGTATGTATCCAAAACTGCTGTTTTAAGATATTAAGGATAGACAGGGAGAAGTGCAGTTATGGACTTGGCAGGTATCTGATTGCATGAGCAGGACTGACAAGCTTCAGTAACAGTGGCAGTGCAGTATATTGTGATCAACTCAATTAGTACATTGACTTATCAATGAAAGTGAGATAATTTATCAATTTATACATTAATGTATTCTATGCAATGACCCTTTGTTGTATTGAAAATAAATGATAGAATGATCCGAACAGTAATTTTGTCCCATAACTGCTAATTAGACTGGTACATTTAAAATGAACACCTTGTGCTGAGCCATGGTCATGAGAATGGTATAATTTAAAGGCATATGAACAATGCCAGGAAAAGCATCACAAATTTAAGGGGCCAAACTTGAGAGAGCCCAGCTAAATTTATTCCCTTCCTAAACATGTGAATCCCCTTTATTTTCAGCATTACAATAATTTGCCGGTCACCCCCTGTGCCTCTCCCCTCACCTTGGCAGGGGCAACCCTGATACATGTAATGCCATTTAGTGTGATTGATGGCTTCTGGTACTAGGTGATCATTCTAGAACAATAGAGATAATATATAACTGAACTAATCTCACTATCACCAAACATTGCCCTTTAAAATATTGTTTTGAAGCTTCAAGAGCTTCCCAATTCCAAAATGATGCACATACAGGGATGGATTTGGATATGGGAGGGATCTAATTAGGTGCTGGTATTGATGTCGGGTGTGAGCATCAACCAAGGCATGGTGTGTAATCATACAGATAGCAGTGTTTTGGGGAAACAGCACCTAACAAGTAACCGGCCAAGTAACCGGCAGGTGCCAGGAATATAGCTGCTAGTAAGGGTTGCAGGATCCTAGACAGAGTCCCTTAGACTGTAAGAATCTCAGGGAGAACTGCAAAATATTATCAAGCATCTAGATTCAATTTGCATTTTCAAACAAATTAAGACACAACCTCCATCCCCCCCCCCCCTACACACACACACTATATAATGGCTGAATGGCATATTGAGTGTTTATATGTGAACAGCCAAAACAGGATCATCCATGTTGACATATTTAAAACAGTTCAAATATAATAAATTTTGTAAAATTGTGATATTTATACTACGACAAATATACCTATACCTACAGTATTTATTATAAATATCAACACACAGTCACACACAGACTCACTCGTTTAAATCTACATCTATAAACACAGTACACAGATCCCAAACATTCGCTTGTGAAATTACTGAAATAGCTGACAAACCTTTTAATTTCGACGGCTTAGAGGCTCAGTGAGTTTGAGTGAACCACCAAAGATCGTAAAATATTTCCATACAATGCGACATACAACGTTCCATTAATACTCCCGCCATTATATAACAATTCGACCATAAAATTTATCACTGACTGTTCTGATTGCGGGCGAAATGCATCAGTCAAAAGCGCATTATTTTGATCGCGGGCTAAACGCATCAGTCAGCATCCATTTCCCAACGTTACGTAGGCATGAAAACAATGGTTTTCGTGACGTGTCGTTGGGAAAACTCGGCCAAAAGACTCGGGACCGATGCGCCACTGATGCACTTTTCTCCCCAACGTGACGTAGTGATGCACTGCCGGCCCCAACGTGACGTAGTGATGCATACACGGAGCTGTAATAATAGTGGATGCATCAAACTAAACACACATTATTATGTGGCGAAATAAAGTCGCGACACAAAATCGTACAACTTGATAAGTGCGAAATTTGATATGCGTTTGCGTTTTTCATAATATTTTGCGAAATATAGCTTTGTTTACATTCATTCCTGTGAAAATATATTGTTTTAAAGGACTTTGGATCAAAGACAACCAATATTTAAATATATTTATATAAAATGTCAGACAATTCTCGTTCGTGTGAAAATTTTGACTGATGCATTCGCACCAGTTGCATCAGTCTAGATCCGCGCCTGTAATCAACCGACAATGATAGACGATTTTTGAATCGTTTGAATGGGCCAATTTTTGCAAGGTTGTGACTTGTGAGCAAAACCGGTTATGCAGGTTATCCTGCTAGTAGAGAGCCAATCGGAAAGCAGAATAGCTTATATCCGGTAAATAAAAATCAAAAGGTAAAGAAGGGAAAACCCTTAGCGGACTGTGGGGAAACATCGATTTTTTGGATCAGACTCCCAATAAAAACCGCAATAAAGTGTTTATTTAGTACTATCTTACAGTATAGTGTGCGGTGCTAATACAATCTATATCATAATTGATAAACAATATGGGGAGCTCCTTTTCTACTAATCCGACGCCACAAGAGCACAGTCTATCACTGGCTTTGGTTCAATACGACACCCAGAAAGCCAACGCAGCCATACAACATACCAATAGCGACTTTGTCGATCCGCACTGTTTGGTGAACACCCTTTTGCCGGGAGATATGATTCAAAAGAAGGGTAACTTTATTCTTCAGTGGTTCTACAGTCACTTTGCGATCTACATCGGTAATGGCGAGATAGTTCATGCTACCATCCCCAACAACCAGATGTACGGAAAGTGCTTTATCGCCAGGGCGATTATGGTAAACGAGTTCAGTAGCGAACTTGTGAGAAAAAACAATCACTTAGACAACGCAGTTGGTTTTCAGATTCAACCTCTCCATCATATCGTGCAAACAGCTCGAGGTCAAGTTGGTCAACCTTGGGATTACAACTTCATCACGCACAACTGCGAGCATTTTACAACATGGTGTCGATACGGCCGCGAAGTTAGTCTTCAGTCTTGGGGCATTGGTGACCTAATATCTGGTAAAATTTCCTTGGGCGAGTATGTGGCTCACAGTGTTTACAGTATCAAGGAAAAAGCGACTACGTTTTGGAGCTGGTTTAAACGTAAAACAGTGGGTATTTATTATTCCATTGGGTAAGTCTGAAACACATTTTTATCAAATATGATGTAGCCGAAATGCAACAGGAAAGGAATAGAGGTTACGATTTTTCTCAGAAAAGTCGTATCTTTGTGAGAAACTCCAAGTGCTTCACAGGCCTAGAGCGTAGTCCAGGCCAGGGACGCCGGAACGATGTGAAGGCAAGGGGGGGCAGATTTTCGTGAAAGAGCACTTTTGAATTGATATATACTAATAGATGTTTGCAAAACATCGGGAGTTGAACTTCGTCTAATCATGTTTTCTATTTATTGGATGATAGAGGTGTGAGGGGGTTCTCCGCCAGGCGATTGTGCTATAACTGTTATTCGTGAAGCTCGATGACTGCATTTCCTGCGTTTTCACAAGCAAATTCGTAAAATAATTGCACTAACATTTCTGACAATTCGCTATTTCGCCAAGCTTAGCAATCCTTTAAATTGAAAGGGCACCTTTGCCCCCCTTGCCCCTCCTGGTAAAGGGCAACGGGGGCGGCTGCCCCTCGTGCCCCCCCCCCCCAGTTCCGGAGTCCCTTGCGTAATCATTAAAATATGATGGTCTGGAAAGTTATATGTTTTTTTTTTCATGTTAATTTGTACACGGTGATTGAGCTCTTTGTACTTTCGTATAATTAAGTAATCATCGATCCAATAGGGATAGAGACCTTACGATTTTAGGACGGCAACGCGATGGCAAAAGCTTTAGTTGGCTATGATTTAATACGATTACTATTAAGGTAATTCCGCAGTTTTGCATTGCGCACTTTTACTGCGCACATCTTATAACTTATAATTTCATCCATTATACGTACCGTTTAAAAAAAAATCATTTTATGACAATTTTATGTTACTTCAAAACATCTTTGATTACATTCGTGCAAAGAATTACGTTAAAATCAATGTTTTCAAAAAAGGCATACAAAAGTGTAGCTAGGTAGGGTTCCTGTGTCTGTAGTATATTTATTAACTTGTATTTCACGTTTTAATGCCACAATTCCCTAAAAAGATCGGTGACCCCCGTTTTTTAACTGATAATTTATTTCTTTAATGCATTTTACATTTCATATCCGAAATTAAGGTGGCTCGATACAGTTTTCAAAAAGTCAGGTGTTCAACACTTTGCCATGTTCAAACTACGCATTTTTATGATTTATTCAGCAGATATTGTGTTGTTTATATATTTTGATAACTCTACTTTCAAATTTTATTATTTTTAGTAACAGATAGTTCGTTGCTATGACGACATACGCGTACGAAATTCACTCCAAAATGGCCTATCGTCTCGTTTTGTTGCAAAAGAAGCATGGTGACCCCCAATTTTTTTTCTTGCATTATTTTACTTGGACGAAAAGCTAACAATTAGCAAAATATAAAAAAATTCTGTAATGCCATTTTTTTGGAAAATGCAAAAATGTCGTTTTCTTCGATAAAATTTTTTTGGCATTACAGAATTTTTTTCTTTTTTGTAAAATGAAAGTTTTTAGCGGTGCAATACAGCATGCAAAATTTGAACATAGGTCACCAGACAAAATAAAGAGATATAGCGCATTGTTTTTCTAAAATGGAAAATTCTAATGACGTCAGCAATTGACATAAAACACTACAGAACACGCGCAATGACGTGATATGGCGCGAGCAACTGCTCACGTCAGGTCATTTTGGAAGTTCTTTTCATTTTGTTTATCAGTTTCCGCGACCTGCGCGTAAAAATGGTCACTCGGTTTTGAGTTCGCGATTCTTGAGCAGGGTTTTTGTGATTACTATATCGAGCCACCTTAAAAGAAAAATCATTTCTGGGATCTTGCAAAAAAATCCTTTATCAATGACAATGCATGTTCTCAAAGAAAGATATGTGAAGAAATGTGGTAAAGACATTTGTGGATCAGAATTGTACACGTTAGTAGTTTCATTTTGCTCAAAACACAATATTTTTTCAAAAATAATTACAAGATAGGTCTAAAGCAAAATCCGCGCTAAAAACGTCAATAAATATCGGGCTGTTGTGATTTTGCTGTTACTCGTAATGAGCGTCAAGATGGCGCCATATTGTGATTGTCATATCTTCTTAACGAGTTCGGTGACCCCGACTTTTTTGTGTGATTTTACTTTAAGTATATCAAAAACTCCATGCCTGGGAAGTTTCAGCACATTCTCATTTCGGGAACAATTACTGCGGAATTACCTTAATTGAGATACATTTCACTACACTTTACATGGCGGATCTTGGAACACGAGCACGCTCGCGCTGTAAACTAGGGATGGGCGATACCAGCTTTTTCATTCGATACGATAATTCCTCGATATTTGCCGTTTTTTTTCGATATCGATACCGATATCGATATTTTCCCAACTCGAAGAACCATAACAACAAAAAGACTATTTTTAATCATTAACAACGGCAACAACGCTAACAATATAAACATTGAATAATATATGTCAGTGATTGCAACCAACATAACCAGAAACTCCCATCCTGCCCGTGGACCATTATAGCACAATAGAAAATGAACTATTTTTCTAGTATTTACGCCTATTTAGGCTTTTTGTTGGCTTTTTGGAATCATTTTCATGATGCCGCTGACCAAAATGGAAAAATAGCGCAGGCGCAGAAATATCGAAACATCGATATTTCTTGCCAGTATCGATACTTTTCATCAAAACCCTGGTATCGATAGTATCGAGTATTTGGTATCGATATCGGCCCATCCCTACTGTAAACTACGGTCTATTTCTTATCGAATAAACAGCGCTGTTTCTTTCTGTATATAGGAACGCAACTTATCCTGCAATCCAAGGATGAGGCAACATTTCTAACGACATGAATTGAACGTGTGGAGTGGCAAGAACTACTCTAATATTGTAAATTGTTGTAAAGTAATTTAACTTCACTTCTATGTAATAGATACAGTAGGGTTTCCGACGCCATCTTGAATCTATTGTTTTCACCATATTGTGTTTGCAAAATTGCACCCCCTGCAAATTTACAAATTGGGAATTCCATTGCGTTTACACCCCTTGCACTATTGTGTTTCATTATGGCGTTGTTAACCTTGGAAGGGTCTAACAGGGTTTGTACATGTCAGGAAGAGTTAAATTCAAGGACTTTTCAAGGACATTCAAGGCCGTGTATCAGCAAATTCAAGGACTAAATACTGAAGAAGGCGTTAGAAATCAGCAAAATCTGACGTTGAATTGTTCAAAACGTATAAACTTTATAATGAGGTCAGATATGAACATGCAAAATCAGTTCAACAAAATGTCCGTCTTGAATGTCAAACAATTTCAGAAAATATCCAAAAACTAAAGCAAGAAGAATTCAAGGACATTCAAGTACTTCTTTACAAATTCAAGGACATTCAAGGCCTTGAATTTTTGTTTTCAAATTCAAGAACATTCAAGGACTTTCAAGTTTTGTACGAACCCTGGTCTAATCTAACTATGGTCTAATCAATGCTTGATTTTGCTTGGGGGTGGAAAAGTGGATTAATTTGGAATATTGTATGATGTACTGCAGCTCTGACAAGTGTTGTTCATAATAATACTAGTATAATAATCAGGGACCTAGCCAGTTTTGTCCCCCTCCCCAAAAACATCATATTCCCTTAGAATAAATTTTAAATCAGACCTTTATTCTCTAAAAACGTCAAAAGAACACGCCTAAAACTGCGCTCAAAACTGAAGAGCAAACAGCATGCTTGACCTCACTAAGATGGGGAATTTTTTTTGTGGATTTATGTGTAGGGATGTGCAGTGACTGTTGAATGTGATGTTATAGCAAAATTTAAGCTAATTACTAAAGACAAAATACTGGAGTTTTAACTTTTTTTGCCCATCCACATTTAAAAACACACGTCCAAATGACGGGTGGACGGACTTCTGGCTAAGCCCATGATAATATTAGGTTTGAATATTTTGTGCATAAATTACCAGAAAAAGATTCGAGGGTGTCCAGCAAAAGCTTTTGTGAAATAGTTAGTAGTCACGTAGGGCCTTCACTACTGAGAAATGTGGACACGTTTTATAATTTTTAACCTTTTTCCAATAGTTCTAACACAAAATACAGCTGCGTATTCCGTATTGTAGAGTAAGATTTCAATCAAGTACCACACAGTATCAGATTCTATCCTTTTAGGCAGTGCATATTATACTACTTTCTTCAACTCTATTCAAGATGTGAACAGTGAAATCTCTAAATGCAAATACAAGGAAAAAATAGCTACTTCTTCTGGTGTGCAAACTGACCACTAATAAACAAAACGTTTGATGAGCATAACACAAATATGATGTTATACCCTTCTCAATAGTACATTTCATAATAACCGCTTGACTTGTACTCCGTTTGATACCTGTTGTCTCTTGGGCCCCTATCTCGATAGTCTTGCCGACCTCCACCGTAACCACGGTTATCTCGGTTGTCACGTTTGTCATACCTGACAACAAAGTGACAGCATAAGTTATCTCATTCCCCTGGGGATTTTATTTGGGAGGGGTTATTAGAGGCAGTGGCGGAAATCTTGGTGGGGCGAGGTGGCGCCCCCACCTTCACGGAAAATTGATGAATTTTCGGAAATGTTGACCTAAAAGCGGGCTAAAAACAGTCTTTTTGAGTGCAAATGGGGAGGTATGTCGGGAATTTGAGAGTTTTGTCGGAAATTTAGGAGGCTTTGCCCCCCCCCCACCGGAAAAAGTGAATTTCCGCCACTAATTAGAGGGGGCTATAAGTAGAGGGTTACAAGTATTAGCTGAAATATAGTTAAGATCTATGCCATCAGGTATGTGATAATCGTATTCACTAAGAAGAAGATTGTATAGTTGAAAAGTGTTATTTTCTGCCGGCTGACACATGAAAGAAGTGGAAAATGTTTTTCACATGCTGTTGGGGGCCCAATAGAAAAAATCGGGTGTTATTGGGTGGTGCAGGTTAGATGAGCACATTTTTGTTGTTGTTCACTGTAGCTTGACATAAATCCCACCCGCCCATTCTTTACTATTAAGAGGAAGAGCTAGAATGGACAGGTTAGCTTATTTAATGTATGTTTGTAGTAAACATTGTGTGATAAATAAATGTCTTGAAACTTGCAGCTATAGCGGCTCCCACCGCTGAGCGAGAAACTGAATTACATGAAGTTCAAAGTGCTGTGAAGCCGTAGTTACTAAAACATGGAACGACCCACAACGACCCACAACAAGCCCACAACGACCCACAACGACCCACAACGATCCACTACGATCCCACAACAAGCCCATAACGATCCCACAACGACCCCACAATGACCCAACTACGACCCCACAACAACCCACAACGAGCCACAACGACCAAAACACCAGCCACAACAATCCACAACAATCCAACAATGATCTCTGCATGCGCAAGTGGAAGTCTTGCATTGCCCGCCAATTTTGATCACATGTAATAATAAAATACGTGGTGTATCCACAAACAATAACTTATATTGTTTATTGTTGTGCAAAATTGCAACTGAAGGTAATTTTGGGATCGTTGTGGGTCGTTGTTGGGTCGTTGTGTGTCAAGTGCATACCATAGCTTCTACAGGAGGGCTTCTGCAACACGGGGGTTACTAGAGGTGTTCCCTTGTATGTCACATGAGATCCTATATTTTATACCTGTTGTCTCTCCTGTCCCGATCTCCACCATGTCTCGAATCCCATCCCTTCCCATCGCGACCACCTTGACCTCGGTTATCTCGTCGTCTGAAGTATCAATTACATCACTTTATAAATACTAAAAATCACTAACATGTCAAATGCTTTGCAGTGAAAACAAAGCATTTCTAGGAAACAACTAACATCAAAATTGAAGTTCATATCGCAGGTTCAAAATATTGGGCATCATCTATAAACTCTATTGTCAACAAATATAGTTTTTACCCAGATTGTGGATCTGTTCCGTAAAAGGGGGTGGCTAAGAATCTGTGATTAATCCTTTGGGTGTCAGCGCTCCCCGATGAGTAAAATCATCTGTCGTTAGGCAGCGTAAAATAATAAACTTGCCACTTCCAGACTGCTAAGTTTGCTAAAGGCCTAATTCCATGACGAGCGAAATGCGAAAAATTTTGTGCGAAAAGGTTGAACGCATGCGCAACATGATTTTGTAATGTTTCTCTGCGAAATATTTCTCTTCGCTGTGTAGTTGAATTCGTTTGGAAATTTTCTTTGCGAAATGGAAATACCAAAGCCAATCAAATGCTTGTGTTTTCGATGACAAAATAGCGAAACCAATCAAATGCTTGTATTTTGGCGATTTTTTTCTCTACTAGTTATGGAAATCACTACAAGAGAAAATGTTCGCACAAGTGTGTTTTCGTGCGAAATTTTTCGCATTTCGCTGGAATTAGGCCTTAACTTTGCACCAATGTTTCCTTCTTTGGATAGAGGAGCGCTCCTAGGATGGGAAAATTGTGCGTGCCGCGTGCGCATGATAAACTTAATAGGAGTCTGGGCCTCTGGAGAACAAATTCTCAGCTTAACAAATTCCCAGTACATGTTTAATAGAGTAGCGTTACATATTGGTATATACCTACCTATCATAGTTATTAGTATTATTCCAATCTAAGACGACTGGAGGAGGTTTCACTGGAGTAGCAACGTGTTTTTGATAGCACTCATCTTTTTCCGTGTACCTTTCCGCAAATAACTCTTCGTATTCGGCCAAACGTTCTTCTAAGGTAGCCATTTATTGTTTTATTAATAATAAATTGACTATATTAAACCTTGGTTTTGCTCAAAAAGCTGATAAAATCAGCAAAATGCACACAGACTTGAGAAATGTTAGCGCTCTTATTTGGCGGCCATATGCAATTCCGAGGGAAGTAAAATCCTTCAAAAGACTGGGTTCGAATTTCCACGAAACGTGCGTGTGGTCCCGCGTGCATCCACGAAAATATCACGCGTGGTAAGTTCGTGTAGCACACGCAGGTTTCACGCGAGAAGTGCTCGAACTGCGTGCTTTTCACGCGTGGCAAATCTCACGTAATTTTGCGTCATAAAAAAAAAGTTAAAAAATTGTAAAAGTTCGTAGTGGTTTTACTGTAACAAGCAGACAACGCTTCATTGAGGGTTGAATTTCATCGGCTTTTTGGCCGGCTACGGGCCGAAATCTTTGCGTTTCTCTTGTACAACATTGACAACGTGTGTCGCAGAAAGAGAAAGAAATTATGAAACTCGAAGAACTCATTGAAAAATTACATGCTCTCTTCGCTGAAAAAGAAGTAAATATTGATGTCGTAAAACACGTAATGGAATCTTATGAGTCCAACTTGGACGATTGGGGGAAGTATGCGTATTTCAGTCCTCACAGGTGAAGAAAAAAATTTAACAAAAACCTGTTAAAATCGTAATATCTGTGCTTGATATTATATGTCTGATATTTGTCTCTGCTTGATATTATTCATTTATTCTTATTTGCCATTTGTTTATTAATTGTTTCCGATGTAGATATACCCGAAATTTGGTTGACAGAGGAAATGGGAAATTTAACTTGATATTATTATGCTGGGGTGAAGGACAGGGAAGGTATATAAATAATAGTTGAAGATACAGAGGCAATGAAACTTGCAATGCATTTTCAGATACGCAGCTGTGTTATTAAAAAAACTATATTTACCCTCCCAGCACTTTCAATATGCAATAATATACTCTTATAAGGAATGAAAAAATGTCAGGGAAAATATTGGCTGAATAAATAGTGCCAGTGGCTCTGTGGCTGTTGCTCAGAATATTCCAGCAACTTAACTTGATTTGTTAGAAATTGAGTTGCAAGTTGCAACAGCTCCGGACAGGAAAATGTAATGACAAAAATGTAAATATTTTTATTCAATATATATTGGTGTCTGGTGGTACTGCATGATAAATTGAACCTCTTGAATGATGTTAAAATGGAAGGTCATTATACATATTATATTACAATTGATATATTCATTTTCATCTTATCATATTACGGAGTGAACAATAACACAACATAACATAACACTTGCAAACCTTGTATAGTTCGATGCTGAATGAATATAAAACAAGTATGTTTATGTCATTCAGTATATAGTTCATAATTTCCAGTCTTAAATCCGTCTGACCATGTAGCTCAATTGGTAGAGCCTCGATCTTGTAATTCAAAGGTCGCGGGTTCAAGACCCAGCCGCGGTAGACAATATCTTTCTGCTTGCGCCGGGTATGGAAATTATGAATTACACACTGGAGAACATTTTCATACTGCTGAAAAATACTGCAAAACGGCTTATGACCCAGGCCCCAATAGTTTGACAACCCTGTTCTTGACCTGGAATGTCTATCTTTAGTGGTGTGCATGACCATTCTGGCTCGCATTGTTTCATGAAGATAATGGAAGGACAACTAAAAGAGACGTTATTTGCCTGGCCTCATGATCCGAGTGTTGAAGAACAACTTACTGAAACTGCCACCAATATTTATAAAAACAATGAAGTTACATACATTTGTGGTAAGATTTAATATTTCAAATCTTTTCACCTGTGTTGAATCTTGATATAATTTATCAATATTGATCATATTTGCCAATATTAAATAACAAAACTTCTGTTGGTAGAGATGTAACTACCTGAAAAAACCGAGGAGATATTTGACATTTCGAGCACAGATTACTTACATACAGAGGTCCCACCTCTGTGGGAAAACTGTAAGGTAGTTTTTACCAAAATAGCTGGTGGCCATGTTCTTAGCAAGTGTCCTAAAGAGAGGCATTCACTCCCCTGGAACATTAAATTTCAATATGTTTTCAGGGGGGTGACTGCCTCTCTTTAGGACAGGCTAAAGTAACATGTAGTGGGACCTCTGTATGTACTTACTCTGTATGTGTTTCGAGCGAAGGCCCTTCATCGAGAAGTTAGTAGCGGGGTCATGAGAATTACATGAGCTTTTGCACTAGTGAATGTAAAAGTGATCATGTGACAAAAAATAAACCAATCAAATGGATTTAGTCAAAACAAAGTGTAAAAAAAAGTAAATCACATTACAGAATATATTAATACAAATATACAGAAAACTAAAACAATTATAAAAATAACTGCTAAGCTTAAAGATTGCTGATTATTGGCCTCTACATATTGCATCACTCTGTTTTTACTTTATTATAAGAAAGCTGCGGATTGATGGATTATAAAATCCTAAAAAATTCTTTCAATTCCCTAGAAAATATAGTTTTTAAAAGAATTAAAACTATTTCCTGAATTAAATACGAATTTAATATGATACAAAGCTAATATTTATGTATTAATCTGCTGAACAATGGAATTGCAGGCTTTGCTTGCACTGTGTGCCCACAGCATTTGTACCAGCAGAGACACAGTAGACACTGCATAGACAGTTCTGGTTTATGAACAGTAAATATTAGACTAGAAAAAGCCTTCATATTACTTTAATTTGTTGTTTTGCTTGTTTTTAATAAGATTATATATAAGCTTACTATGCAATGATATTAATTAAAATTGAAAAAATGGTCATTATTTTTATTGCATTTATTGCAATATTATCGAATATCGTGATAATTTCCTTGGCAATAATCATGAGATGATTTTTTTAATATCGCCCAACCCTACGTTTGAGATTACTTCATCAAGGCATTAATTTATCGTTTACAGATCAGATTGGTCTTCACCGTGTTGAGAATGAAAGCCATTCAAATCGTGCTGCTTCGCTTCATCTGTATTCGCCACCATTTGACATTGCACAGTCGTTCGATCAACGAACAGGCAAAGCTTTCGAATGTCACGTCACATTCTACAGTGAAAATGGGGAAATTAGCAAATAAGAAATGGAGAAATTTAAAAGGAATGAATTGTCCAGGTAAGAAAAATCTTGTCTATTGAACCAAAAATGTGTCTATTGAACTAAAAATCTTGTTAACCATAGTAGACAGTCTATTACTACATATAGAATAATATATACTTGATATGGTGCATTGCCTGTTTCTGGTTTAACATTATATAAAACTCATGATTTTTTCTGTGTTGGTGTAATGTACTCAGGTGAATACGATGCTTGTGATGTTACTCTGAGTGTATATCCACACCGGGCAAGCATGTGGATATACACTCAGAGTAACATTTTCAAGCTTGCCCAGTGTGGATATACACTCAGAGTAACATCACAAGCATCATATTCACCTGAGTACATTACACCAACACAGAAAAAATCATGATTATTATTAGATAACATTGATATCGAAGGAACTAGATTCTATTCCAAAATATCACTTACTCGACCAGGCCGCGCAGCTCAGTTGGCAGAGCATTGGGGCTAGTATTCCAAAGGTCGTAGGTTCAATTCCCACCGTGGTCAGGCATATTTTTCAAGCTTGCCCGGTGTGGATATACACTCCGAGTAACATCACAAGCATCATTATATAAAACTATTCTTTTTGAAATTGTTCTAAAATATTATTTTTTTTAAATTTTAGATTAATGTTGGCAAGTTTCGCAGTATGGCAGTCTTTATATGAACTATATGAACTAATATTTTTATTTAAAATAATATACCACATGGACATATTTATATTATAACCCTATACGTACTCACCATAGAATGTGTAACCTTTCTTAAAAAACTCATTAATAGTTAATGAGCAAAGTACAAAAGAAATGAATGTTTAATCAATGTTTGTAAATCGGATAAAGATTTGTCCTGATTTACATAAACTTCAGCTTTGAATTTCTCGGCTTAGACAATGTTTATTTTAAAAATTACTTCGCCAATGAACTCATAAAATGGGTCGTTTTTTAGGCACGTTAATTAAAACATTCACATCCGATCTTTATCTAGTTTCATAAACTAGTTTTTCGTATCTCTGAGGATGGTTCTGAAATAGATCTTTATCTGATATACAAACTCTCGCTTTCAGATAAAGATTGGCTGCTAATGTTTTAACTAGTACATAAAGCATGTACCGGGTGGCCCAAAAAAAAGTACTCCTGTTTGATTCGTAATAACATCTAAACAAGTATAGCTTTTAAAGAGAAATAACTTGCATCAAATAGAGGAAGGACTAACTTAGACTTTGATATATTACAGTTGTATTTCACTTAAAAATTCACGGAGATATTAATCTTTAAATTCGGGAGGATATTTCTGGATGTGTCTGAAATATGCAAAAATCGGCGTATCAAATATTAATCAAGATTTGCCCGACTGAAACATGCACTATTACCAGTAAATAAATGACACTTGACAAATTGTTTATTATGAAACAAAGTATTATTATATCTACAAAATACAACCAAGATTCATTCGTCCGAAATTCGCGTGTGTTCCTAGCACGAATACGTTTCCTTATTTCATGAGACCACTGCATCGCGAAGGATCGTCATTGGATCGTTCGTAGTTCTGAATTAGGGCATGCTGTCACAACGGAATTGTGAAGCTCTTCTAACTTCTGCAACGTTCTGAAATCTTGTTAAGAACACCCAAACTCTTTTGCCGTTTCTTAATCTTGGCAAGTTCATGGAGTAAACTGAGAATTATATGAAACACAATCAAACCATACAACTCCATAAGACATAACAATTAAGCAACTCCCCAGAGACATGCAACATTTTTGGAACAAAACGTAACAAAATAGTAGCGTTGATACGGTGATGTGTATTTGCAAAAAGCAATATTATTTCCTTCAATAAAGAATATTCATCCTGCTCTCACCGAGAAATAATCTACTCAGTCTGTTTGAACCCATTAAAAACATAAAAAAATTAGGCTATTTAAGAATACGAAAAATTTAAGCGCCTGCCTTCCATGGTCAGTCTTTCATGTACATTTAAGTTTGCAAAGACCTAATATTAAATACTTGCATAATTTCGAATGTTCATATTTCAGAAAACAATGAGCTAAGACTTACATGTAAGATGTCTAAATCTACGCCATATCCCTTACAAACCTTAACGATAATTCGCTGAAATACAAGTTAGCCTAATATGTCATTAAGCAAACAAACGCTGGAGTTAATATTTGATATGCCGATTTTCGCTAATTTTAGACACATTCCAAAATATGCTCCCCATTTTTAACATTAATATATCCGTGAATTTTTAAGTTAAATACAACTGTAATATATCAAAATCTAAGTTAGTCCTTCCTCTATTTAATGCAAGTTATTTCTCTTTAAAAACTTTACTTGTTCAGAAGTTATTACGAATCAAACAGGAGTACTTTTTTTTGGGCCACCCGGTATTTATAAATATTATTATACATTGTAGTTGGTAAAAGCAATTTGATTGGCCAAGAGCTTGCAGTTAAATCGCGCAATCACGCAACCTACAGAAAATTCAGTTATCTGCTAGCAGATAACTGAGTTATCAGCAAATGAGCCTGCGATGATTAGCAAGCGGTATCTATTTAACACAAACAAATGTATAATAAAACAATTATTGAATTCGGTTTTTGCGATATGCAAAGTTATCAAATCAAGGTCTCGGTATAAGCGTTATCGGCCTCGCCTTCGGCTCGGCTGATAACCCTTACCTCGACCTTGATAATTCCGCATATCACAAAAACCTCATCCAATAATTGTTAAATATACGTGTTTACGTTTTGTAACTGGTGCGTAAAGATATGTACACTGATGTACATCAAATTTATGTTTGAAAAGAGCATAATTTTTGCCTGTTTTTAAATGTAGCACAGTTAGCATAATCAACACATTTTGACGATGATGAGATCATTGGAGAATTTTGCCTGAGTAATAACTCTGTTTCTCTCTTATACAAAATATTTTCATTTTTTGAACATATTTTTTTGCTTTCGTCAGTTCATTTTTGTTTACAAGTCCTCTTAGCCTTAGGAGGTTTGGACTCACCGGACGTCCATAGGCATTGTTGATATCCGTCCCTGATTCTATAGACGAAATTTTGATCTAGGCAAGAAGAACGAAATCCATTGTAATAGCTGGAAAGAGCATTTTAAAATGAGTAAAATTGCAAAGTTTGGTTGCGAAATGTTGTAAAATGAGGAAAATATAGCCCTTGTGAAGTTCGCAAATTTTCTATATATTTGCATTACCCCGGGGGAAAATAACCATTTTTGAGCCGAAAGTGGTTATTTTTACCGCGCGTAATACAAATACATACAAAATTTTCGAACTTCACAGGGCTATATTTTCTTCATTTTACAACATTTAGCAACCAAACACATTGCCATATTGGCGTTTCACCGCCTATTGTTATAGACGCCCTGCTCTGAGTCACGCAAGCAGTACTATAGTATAGAAGGCGTATATACACTGATCTGATTTTAGAACTCTGATGGAATAGGGAGAAAGCAGTTTATTTCAGAAAAAGAGGATTGTTTTTGTGAACAGCAAACAAATAGTTATTTATAAATAACATAATTTCATAATTGAATAATACGTAATTATGATACATAATTGAATAATACAATGGTATTTGCCCCGTTGTTTTTCACAAATTATCTGCGGAGAGGCTCTACGCGTGACAAATTTCTTTTAATTTTGTTTCCATGCAAGGTTTAGAACTCTGATGGAATAGGGAGAAAGTAGTTTATTTCAGAAAAAGAGGATTGTTTTTGTGAACAGCAAACAAATAGTTATTTATAAATAACATAGTTTCATAATTGAATAATACATAATTATGATACATAATTGAATAATACAATGGTATTTGCCCCGTTGTTTTTCACAGAATTATCTGCGGAGGAGGCTGCTACGCGTGACAAATCTCTTTTAATTTTGTTTCCATGCAAGGTGAAAAACACCTTTGTGCCTGTGGTCTTATTATAAAGGCTTCTGCCCATAGGAAGGTTGAATTATATCGGCTTGTTGGCTGCTTTGGCGAAACAATCTGAGTTTTTCTTGTGCAATATCGACAACGTGAGCAGAAAATAGAAAAAAATTATGAATTTTGAAGAACTCATTAAAAAATTGCATGTTCTCCTTGCTGAAAAGGATGTCGCTGAAGTCAAGGAGGAAGTGATTCGCGTAATGAAATCTTATAAATCCAACAAGGACGATTGGAAAAAATATGCTCATTTCAGTGCCCAAAGGTATAAAGAAAATGACCAGAAAAAACATACTATTAAAATCGTAATGTCTGCGTTTGATATTATGTTAATAATTTGCCATTGTTTTCAATAGTTATACGCGAAATTTGGTTGACAGAGGAAATGGGAAATTTAACTTGATATTATTGTGCTGGGGTGAAGGACAGGGAAGGTAAATAAGTAACAGTTAGGGGCCATGAGGCAATGAAACTTGCAATGTAGTTTCAGATATAGTCTGTCTGAGACATGTTATCTACGAATAAACGGTGGTCACAGAGAAATGCACTACCTTCCTGGCACTTTCATTAAGTAATATACTCTTACAAAGTATGAAAAAATACAAGAAATATGAAAAATATTGGCAGAATAAACAGTTTCAGATAACATGACTTTTTGTTAGAAATTGCAGTGCAAGTTGCAACAGTTCCGGACAGGTAAACGTAATAACAACAATGTAAATGTTTTTTATTCAATATTTCAAACATAATAATTCATAAGCTTATTGGCAAATCATGTCAACCATACTAAATGCCACTCCTAATTACTACACTGGAGTGCGCGATTGCTTTGCGGTGCAACAGCTGGACATTTACACAGCGCATGCACTAGTTTAAGCGCGCAATCCCTGGGGCGGTTGAAGGAAATCAATATGGCGACGTATGAAAGCGAAAGTAGTGTTTCGTGGATTTATCTGGTTTTAAACTTAATTTAGTAAAACAACATTATAATGAACGAGAACCTTGTAAAATTTATCTCTTTATTCTCGTTTATAAATTCTATGTTGTATACATGCTTTGAACAATTATAGAACACCCCTAGCTATAGTGACTGTATATGCATTGTTATGTACCGATCAATTCGAAACTTCAACATGCCCCCCCCCCCCGGACCGACTCCGGGAATTTGAACTTTTTGAAATTTGACTGATCAAATTCTCCACCCCCTTTGCAAAAAGTGTCTTCAAATGCCCCCACTGTGACAAGAAATTAAACGTTTAAATGCCCCACCCTCTAAGTTATTTGTGTTAAAGCAGACGCTTTTTTAATTTTATAGACGACGAGATAGCGAAATTGCCGCGAAATCAAAAAGTCCAATTTTTTTTTGCCTAACTTCAAATATCAATTTATAAGAAAGGATACCATTCGGTTATCACACATGCCCTTTATCGCTTCTTTGACGTGAGTTTAATAACTGGTTGATGAGTTGTTTTGTTTTTCATTACCCAACCTTTGCTCACTCGAATCTTTGTTTACCCAACCCTTTTCTCTTCGGTACAACCCCTCCCTTCTTCCGCCATAAATAATGACCGGTCCCGGCTTATCATTGTTGCATAGCCTGCGAAATTGCATTGCAAAACCAGCACGTTTAAAATTTCATAGTTCTTTGGTCGCTGCAAAAAGGTACCGATGCAGGGTGAAAACGCAAAGCCCGAGACATTAAATAGCAAGGGTGGGTAGTAGCGAAGTAGTTGTAGTTCGCTACTATAGCGAACTACATTTTTCAAGTAGCCAGTAGTTTCTGACTACTTTTTTAAAACAGTAGCTGTAGTTATAGCGAACTACATTTTGCCTAAAAGTAGCCAAGTAGTTGACTACTTTTCAAACAGCGAATCGCTATTCGCTATTTTTTTAAATTGTTAGCGACTTGATAGAATAGCATGATATTGATTGTGACACGTTTTGCTTAAAATCAATCCCCAATAGTCAATTATTTGCACTCCCGAAGAGTGTACGTAGTGCTTACAAAAATGTTGCTTTGTGTTTACTGTTGCTACTCGTAAGTCGATTTGTTATAGGTTATACATTGCAGTCTGAGTTACTAGATGCTCCAAATACAGTAAAACTAAAAAGTATAGTGTAACGAAATAGCGAAATAGTTCGCTACATTTTTTAAGCAGTAGCTGTAGTCAGTAGCGAACTACCTTTGTTCAAAAGTAGCAGTAGTTGTAGCTGACTACATATTTTTGAAGTAGCTGTAGTTATAGCGAACTACAAATATTTTGTAGTCAACCAACTTAAGCTTGATGGCATTATCAGACTTGTCAACAAAGTTGTTATAACAAGTTTGATACAGTCATGATATCACGAGAATCTTACAAGGTTGACTACCCAAGGTTGTAACAATATTGTTATACCATGACTGTATCGGACTTGTCGGAACAACCTTGCAACAAGTTTGACAGTATCAACTATCAACAAGGTTGTTACAAGTTGTTAACAGCTTGTTCTAAACTTGTTGACAACTTGAGACAAGCAGTGCGAACACAACTTGTTGATGGCTTGTTGGCAGGCTTGCCACAAGATGCCCGAGATTTTTGCGTGTGTAGTTTAATGACTGTGTTCTTAACCTGCAACGTCTGTGTTTAGTGGTGTGCATGACCATTCTGGTTCGCATTGTTTCATGAAGATAATGGAAGGACAACTGGTGGAGACTTTATTTGCCTGGCCTCATGATCCGAATGTTCAAGAACAACTTACTGAAATTGACAGTAAAACGTATGAAAATGATCAAGTTGCGCACATATGTGGTAAGATTATTTCAAATGTTTTCATGTGAATATTAGAAATAATAAGTTGAAATAATGTCACTGGTAGTAATAAGGGACTGATCATTTTTTATTGGGGGGGGGGGTCGCATCGAAGAGAAATGTTTTTCTGTATCTTCGTAACAATTTTGCTGATCCCACCATCGAAAAGACAAAACAGTTTTTACCCAACCTCAAATATCAATTAAAAAACAAATACCCACCTCTGGCCAAAAATGTTACAAAAGGATACCATTCACAGTGTCGTTTACCACTTCTGTGACATGAGTTTGACAACTGCTTGTGCAATTTTCTGCAGTCTAAAGTTTCGTGTTGTCTGCACATGTGCTTTCTTTGGAGACACCATTTGCCTCCTGACAAATCAGAAAATGATCAAGATAGTGACTCTGATTGATTTATATATTGTACTGACATGTGACTGTTGACAATGCTTTTTGAGTCTTCAGTATTTGAGTGAGTCATGCTTTGGAGGCATGATTTACCCAAGGCATTTTCTCTTCGCTGCCAGTCCTCGCCATAAATAATGACTGGTCCCTAAGTTTATGTCGGTAGTGTAAGAAGTTTCCCATACATAATTACATCACGTAAATTGTTAATACAGTTTTAGGGAGGAATATACGGAACATTTCGGAAATATCAAACCCATTCTCTATTTATACAAGGTCAAGGCAGGTTAATACTAAGGTTCATATACGCATTTAGGTTTGTGCATGACGGATCACAAAAAATTTACCTTGTCCTTGGATTCCAATGGCCGCATCTAGGAGACTATAAACCTTTAGTACAATGGTATTTGCACGAAATACTACATTTTATCGTTGTCGTGCAAGGTTTAAAACCCTTGTCAAGCTAGAAAATTAAGTTTGAAGTGGAATAGTGCTAATAAACACGGCTTTTTGAAAAAAAGACTAGGGCGGCAAACTAAAACCTTTACTCCAACAGACAATTTCAAGAAATATAAGAAAAAATATACTCGGCCGAATAATAACGTCATCTTGTAAACCCAATGTCATCTTGTGATATTTCGACTCTATTTCAGGGTCATTGTCATATTGCCTGAAACAGAGTCGAAATATCACCACCATAATTTGCATGGGCGTACCGGAAGGAAAAAATTAGGGGGCGGAAAGAAAATTGCCCGACTTCTCGTAAAATTGCCCGACTTTTCGTGATTGTGCCCGACTAGTACCAAAATTTTTTTTCCGGAAAATTTATTTTGGCGACCTCCCCCCCCCCCTTTCCCCCCGTCGCCAAAAAATTTCGGTCAGTGTACCATTTAAGGGGTCAAAAAAATTTTCCGGAGATACCCAAATTTTTCGGAACATCACATAAATTTACTAAATTTTCTACATTTGCCACAAAATTTACTAAATTTTCCAAAAAATTGACACAATTTGTCCGATTTTTTTTTATAACAACCCAAAATTGCCCGACTGTTAATCGAATATTGCCCGACTGCCCAAAAAACTGGGGGGGGCTACGCCCCCCCCCCCCGCCCGGTACGCCCATGATAATTTGTGTCCTGTTTTCAGCGGTTTAAATAACTAGTTTCAGTTGAGTTTACAAGATGACATTATTTTACTTGTAGTTGCCTATATGTATGAATTTGACTATGACTATGTCATTTGCAGATGACCACGGAATTCACAGAGTTGAGAATAGAAGCCATTCCAATCCAGCTGTTTCGCTTCATCTGTATTCACCACCATTTGATGCTGCACAGTCGTTTGATGAAAACTCAGGCAAAGCCAAAAAATGTAAAGTCACATTCCACAGTGAAAATGGCCAAATTAACAATTAAGAAATGATAAAATGAAAGGAATGAATTGCCAGGTAAAGAAAACTTTGTCTATTAAACCAAAAATCTTATTGAGCCATACAAGGTTGCATTCTTTTTTTAAATTGTTCTAATTTTTTATAATTTCAGATTGTGCAATTAATGCTGGGAAGTTTCACACTTTTATGGACTAATAATAATATACCACATGGATTTTATAGACATACTAGAATAATATACCAGTCACATGGATTTTATAGACATATTAGAATAATATACCACATGGACTTTATAGGCATACACACATATAAGTATTTATGTCATAGCCGTATATGCACTCACCATAAAATTTGTAACTTTTTAAAATGCGCACATTGATGATTTTCCGGTATGCATAATTAAATACTTAGGCGTAAATTTGCAACATTCCATAGAATTCCACAAGCTAATTAGCGTCTGTAATCTCGCGGATAATACTGGTAACGAGGCTAAATTAACCAATCAGAAGGCGAGAATAGCGAAGCCGTGGGTGAGGTGTCTTGGCGATAATTTACAAAAAGATGGCGGCCTGGTGAATTGGCTCCTTTCTGGGCACATCTGTAGGGGTTCTGTTACTTAAATACACCTAGTCCTTCGAGGAACATTCAGCCCAGACTTCGCCTGCAATGTACTGTTTGCAAAGCTAGAAATTTCACAATGTCTTGGCGCAAAGGAATGGTAACGCATTCGAAATTCCGCAATGTTTATGGCGAACCGTATCGCAAGGACAAATGCTATGAAAATGTCAGATTTACGAAAAACGCCTGGGATGGCACATATTGTGCTGTGAACCCGAAATTTCTTGCAGTCGTATTGGATACAAGCGGAGCCGGTGGTGCATTTCTTGTCATTCCTTTAGAAAAGGTAAAAAAAGGAAACATATCTTGTAAAATACACTACACAAATATAATAAATTGAGTCTTGTCTAGAATATGAAAATACAAAGCAGATGTTTTGGTATTGTTTTACACATCATAAAGCCACATACTGCCGCATTTTAATCGATTTTCTTTTAATATATTAACATTAACTTCAGTTCCTAATGATAGTGCGTTTAGTAATCGTGTTTTAACGAGTGTCATTTTATGTACAAATTTGATATATTTTACTGCAGGGAAAATCCACAATTCGCTTTTGACAAAGCTGTGTTTACACAATTGTATTTAAATTGGTCTTAAAGTATTTCCAAATGCCCGTTTTATATCTTTATCCGTGGTTTATCATGATAAGCATTTATTAATTTAACGAAAACAAGGCGTATTGGCCAAAGCATAAAAATACTCGAAGCGAATGATTCGCTTGAAAGAGACCCGTCAGATTTTAGCCATAGGCAACTCCGAATGTATTCAAGAGTTCTGACATTTGTGTGTAAATTTTGTACGAAAAACGTAAATAAACACTACCTCCGTGAAAGCAAATACAAGCAGCGCTTGTTGTTTGTTTTTCAAAGACCATATCAAGTGTCAAATGAATTATTTTGGGCGGAAATATTCGTTCCAAACTTGGTAGTTTTGTTGGCATACGCCCACGCCAACCACTTGACACGTTAGTCACACTTAAAGTTTTTTCCTGTAAGAATCTTGACATCTTGTAAGAATCTCCGTACATTAATATAGTGAGCTCTTTATTTGTTTGTAATAGTGTAATTAAACCTTCAAAAGCGTTTGTGAAATCGGTGTGGATATAAAAATGATTTTATTTTATATAAATTTATGTAAATTGCCATGTTTTTTATGTATAATTTAGAATAACAAATATCTCGCATTCCCTAAATGCAAGAGCAATATGAAATCTTGGGGATTTTAAGTGCCCCACCCCACCCTGTCCTTGCAATGTCCAATATTACAATTCATCACTTTTCCTGAAAAGCCACTATAAAGTCATCAACATTGTACTACCAGGGGGGGGGGGGGTTAAATATGCTGTCCATGTCAATTCTTGCTGGAATGTAGTTGCCACAAGACATAACAGGGAGGGGATAGCTTATAATGAACATTTGATTCCAAGAAAGGGAGGGGAGTCTTCAGAAAGGGGGTTAACTTCTTGTGAGGGAGACACTAACATTAAAATACTTGTAATGGTAAAAAAAAATACTACCTGTGGTTCCTGACCGACCCTATTTTTTTCTGCTGACCCTATTATTTTTTCAATGCGATTGACTGTGCGACCCTATTTTTTCCTGCCCGTTCAACGCACCAAAATGGTGTCTGTTGTCACACTAATTATTGAACCAAATTCTTAATTGCCTAAATTCATCCATAGGAAATATGCATCTCTAGTTAATATTGATGTCGGGACTCTACTGCAAATCGCCCAGCAAAAAACCACCAAACCCATGAAAAAATATTCAAAAAAATTTATTTCCAACCTACCGATCCTAATTTTTTCACGATATGAAACCGGAACCACGGGTATTTTTTTAGGCCTAGGGAAAATAGAGATATAGTGGTAATGTAGGGATAGTAGAGGACATTCAGTGGTGCACAATGGTGCTATGACTAAGAATTTGTAAGGAAGTTATCTGCCATTGCACATGACATCACCTTGACTCCGTCAATTGACATTTTGACTTTAGCATAAAATCTGTATCAGGTAGATTGTTGCACAAATAATCAGTAATCAATAATTCACAATTGTAGCACAATTGGTCAAGCACTACATGCAGCCCCAAGCTTTGTAAGATTGTACAAACATAAAAAATTTTCACTTTCCCTGACATACATATGTTGGTTTCCTTCCATAAAGGTTGGTCATCAAAAACTAGGTGATCCTCGTGTTGCTGGACACCAACGTGAAATTCTCGACATCCAATGGAATCCATTTAACGATCACATCATCGCCTCCGCATCTGAAGATTGCACGATCAAAATATGGCGGATACCGTCCGGCGGGTTAACCGAGGATCTCCTTGAACCCTTGGTTGACTTGCGTGGACATCAGCGAAAAGTTGGTATCGTTAGATGGCATCCAACAGCCAATGGAATCATTGCTAGTGCAGCATTTGATTTTAAAGTGATTATATGGAATGCGTTAAAAGCAAAATCTCTGTGCGTCATAGACTGTCATCGCGATACCATATTTGATCTGGCATTTAACTATGATGGTAGCCGGATAGCGACAACCAGCAAGGATAAGAAAATACGCATTATCCATGCTCGTACTGGCAAGCTTTTACAGGTGCCGATGAAATACATTATATTATATTAAACTGATATGTACAAATATAATCATGACAAATTTCAAATATCTTAATACCATATAGTCTTTTTGGCATGTTCAAATATTATGGTAGTTCATAAAACGCCTAATTTTGCACCCTATGAATTCAAATTGTATTTTAAGCCTTCCATATTTGTGCGCAAGCCATTTTTATAGTGCTTTTTAAAAACAACCTGCGTTTGAAAATTTACTTTTCAAAATAATTTTAGTGGTAAAGGTACTAGCAGACCCCAAACTACCCATATGCTTGCATAAAGTGTTCACAAATTTTGCAGAATTTGCGATTTAGCAAACATTTTTGAACTGTGCATCTTATACACCCTGTGGTTGCATTTTTCCTGTTTAGGTCTAAAATTGTGAGAAACTTACATTTGAAAATTGCATCCAACGGCCAAACAACCCATCTGCTATTAGTTCTCTTAAACTACTGGAGGCTCAAAATCACGATATTTAATACCCTCCCATTATTAATATCATGGATGTTCATGTTGGTTTGGTAAACTTGTTATTCACTGTGTTTTGGTACATTAATAACCCCCTCTGTTAATCCTCTCCTAAATAAAACATTATATACCACTGTTGCCATTATCTAGCAATTTGCTGGCCATGCAAGTCCAAAGACCTCTCATGTGGCATTTACTGATGACCAAAGCGATCATGTAGTTAGCAGTGGTTTCTCAACTTCAGGATCTAGAGAGATTTCATTATGGGACTTAGTAAGTAATAAAGAATTATTGTACTATCAAAACTCTGGTATGTCAATAAATTATATTATATATATCATGACATACATCCATTGACAGGCTTTCAAAACAAGCTGGCGGATTTTTGTTTAGCTTTAGTACTTGAAATATCAATTCTGCTCTCCTTCCACTCTAAGCTTTCAAACTCTAAGCTTTCTACTTTATATATTAGAATGTTAGGGTTTGTAATCCAAGTGAGAATATATACATTTTAAGACCTAACCAGGAACGACTGCGCAAAATGCAAATCGCAAGGCCGTAGGTTCAATTCCTACCAGAGGACCTTGTGCTGCATTTTTCGCAGTCGTTCTTGGTTGGTTAGGTCTTAAAATGTATATAATCTCACTTGGATTACAAACCATAACATTCTAATATTAATTCCACCAAGTGAAGTGCAAAGAATAAAGATAATTGAAGTCTACTTTATATAGCCTAGTAACGTTATTTTCGAAAACGACGGACTGTTTTGTAAAACTGATTTAGTTATTTGCTATCTTAAATCTTGAAGATATCTTGTTGAAGAATGAAAGTATACATTATACATGATGATTTGGTTACAGAGCTTAATTGTGTTGCTATCTTATTGTTTCAGAACAAGTCATCATCTCCAGTTCAAACCGATTCAATAGACAATTCTTCAAGTATATTGATGTTACATTATGACATGGACATTAAAGTTGCTTATGTTGCTGGAAAGGTATTTTTACAAAAGCCTGGTTCACATATGCCTGCGGTATCATTGTTTACAGCTGTTGATGCATACATTCTTTTGTGAATTATTTGGTTGAACTGCTAACGGCAATAGCCCACCGACATACCGCGGGTATATGTGAAGGAAAGTTCCCCCTTAAATATACCAGCATAAGTTCTAAACAAACTGGTCCCTGGATTATAATCACACCTAGGAATAATTAGAGTATTATGTTTGCGATGTTACTCTGAGTGCATATCCACACCGGGCGAGCTTAAAAAATATGCCCGGCCACGGTGGGATTCGAACCTACGACCTTTGGAATACTAGCCCAATGCTCTTCCAACTGAGCTACGCGGTCAGGACGGTTCGAGTAAGTGATATTTCGGAACAGTATCTAGTTCCTTCAATACCAATGTGTTCTAGTAAAAATAAAAAAAAACCCAAAAAAAAACAACAAAAAAATACATATTACTAGAACACATTGGTATTGAAGGAACTAGATACTGTTCCGAAATATCACTTACTCGAACTGTCCTGACCGCGTAGCTCAGCTGGAAGAGCATTGGGCTAGTATTCCAAAGGTCGTAGGTTCGAATCCCACCGTGGCCGGGCATATTTTTCAAGCTCGCCCGGTGTGGATATGCACTCAGAGTAACATCGCAAACATATTATTCACCTGAGTACACAACACCAACACAGAAAAAAAAAAAAAAATAGAGTATTGGTAGTTTGCTTAATGCTGTGTGAAAAATGGGGTATTTGTATTGTATTTCAAAATCTTTACAGAGGATAAACATTTCAATAATCTACTGTTATCAATGCTTAATTGAAAGAATGACTTCACTTCCATTGAATACAAAAATACCCAATTGCAAAGTTAACAAAAATCACTTTATTGAATGCTTGAGAGCGCGCGAGCTTTTGCTTGTGCGACTCCACGATTGTAAAACTTTCTACTGTAACTGAACTGGCTAAGATGTACCGTAAATCCTCACTCTCTCCAGAAAAAAAACAAGAAGAGTTCAATTAACGAACGACAGCGATCGCGCTTCTCAAAATCCCAGGTCTGCAACGATGGAACTTCAGTCGGTCCGAATGATGAATCTTCTGATTCCATTAAAACCTTCTCTTCCTCTGTTTAGGGTGATGGTATGATTCGTTATTACGAGATCAGACGAGAGGAACCATTCTTGTTACGATTATCCGAGTACAGACACGCTTCGCCTCAGAAGACTCTGGGCAAGATGAGCAAACGAGGTCTGGACTTCGGCCGATGCGAGGTGTTCAGATTTTACAAACTTCATCCAAGCAACTGGATTGAACCACTCCCAATGTTCTGCCCAAGACGGGTAAGCAGTTGCCATTTATACATTTTATTGCGTTGTAACATTTGCAAGTTGCAGCATAGGCAGCCTGGTTTTGATTGTGCAATACAGGCAATAGCTAGGCACGTTAAGGCCGCGTTTACACTATGACGCAACGGCAAATTTACCGTAGCGTAGTGATTTGCATCCGGAGTGCCAAACGTAGTGGCTTGTAGTTAATACGCTACGGCAAACCACTCCGTTATAGTGTAAACACAATATAATTCCGTAGTTAATACGCTACGGCAAACCACTCCGTTATACTGTAGTGTAAACACAGTATAGTCTCAATACTAGAAACGCAGTAAATTTTTAACGGAGTATGAATTTTTTTTTCTCTGTGTTGGTGTTGTGTACTCAGGTGAATAATATGTTTGCGATGTTACTCTGAGTGCATATCCACACCGGGCGAGCTTAAAAAATATGCCCAGCCACGGTGGGATTCGAACCTACGACCTTTGGAATACTAGCCCGATGCTCTTCCAACTGAGCAACGCGGTCAGGACGGTTCGAGTAAGTGATATTTCGGAACAGTATCTAGTTCCTTCAATACCAATATGTTCTAGTAAAAAAAAAAAAAAATTCATATTACTAGAACATATTGGTATTGAAGGAACTAGATACTGTTCCGAAATATCACTTACTCGAATCGTCCTGACCGCGTAGCTCAGTTGGAAGAGCATTGGACTAGTATTTCAAAGGTCGTAGGTTCGAATCCCACCGTGGCTGGGCATATTTTTCAAGCTCGCCCGGTGTGGATATGCACTCAGAGTAACATCGCAAACATATTTTAACGGAGTGTTAGCCGTAGCGTCATAGTGTAAACGCGGCCTAAAATATTTGACAAGAATATTCAAACTTTTAAGAGGAGATTTTTTTGTATGTTACGTAACACGCGCTCAAAACTAATGCGTATAATATATCACTTGAGGTTATGACTAACTTCAAAATTTTAGTTTTTCGATACGTTTCTCAATCGGCAAACAAACTTAAAAAGTATGTTTAGTGCTTTATCTGTAAAATAATGTTAAAATGAAGAGATTTTAGATGATACGCCAAAGAGAAAATGATGCCAGTGAAGTTCAGTAAGTTTTGCTTGTATGGCTGTAAATATGGCGTCAATTTTAAACCATCTGCATTGATAATTGTATTTTAATTGACAATTTTTAACTATTATTTTATGTTTCTCAACCGGCAGATGCATTTAAAAAGGTTGCTAACTCTATAAACTAGAGAATAAAGCTAAAACAAAGTAATTTTGAGAGGAACGCCAAAAAAGATTTTAGGTTTTGAACACTTTTCATTGCAAATACGTGACATTGAAAAAAATTGCCTCTTAATAATGAACTGTCTGTGCCAGTGTAGGTAGTGTCAATATAAATAAAAAGCTTTCGTTGATAGGGATGCAATTACCTGAAAAATATAAGGAGAATTTCGACGTTTCGAGTGAAGACCCTATCTAATATTTTGTTGTGTTATTTTTTTAGTCGGATGAATTCCAAGAGGACCTTTATCCACCCAGTCCCAGCATGCAACCTGCGCTCACGGCAGATGAATGGATGAGCGGCATCGACAAGAATCCTAATTTGATTTCATTCAAAGATGGACACCATCTTGGAGGCGGTCCGACGTCACCATCCGGTACCTCAACAGCGGAAAAGTATAACAAGTACGATATATTTGGTATTGATATATCGTGGCTGTATCGGACTTGTTGGAACAACCTTGCAACAAATCTGATAGTGCCATCAAGCCTGTTACAAGTTGTTAACAGTTTGTTTGAAACTTGTTACAACAACTAGGAGCAAGCAGTGTGAATATACAACTTGTTGACGTCTTGTTTGCAGACTTGCTACAAGATGTGAGATTTTTGCATATGGGTCACCCTTGCTTCAAGGCTTCACTTAAAGACTTCAGTCACTTGAGCCGTGACTAAAGGCCATGTTACATGGTGCAATTTTTCTTGCAACTTGCAATGCAATTCTACTCTTGAGAGATGTAAAATTGCCAAATACGAGTCTTCATTATACTCCGCTGATGTTTTCTCAACATATCGAAAATTCTTCACTGATTTCACTAATTAACATCTCTCAAGAGTAGAATTGCATTGCAAGATGCAAGAAAAATTGCACCGTGTAACATGGCCTTAACTATATGACGATAAAGTTTTTGAAATTTGAATGGCCTTGTATCTACTATATTCACCTTGTATTTATGTTTTATAACAAATATCTTCTCTACCCATGTAGCATGTTTAACAAACCAGCCAAGTTTGAAAAACAGTTATCTAAAGGCGCGATGTCGGTTTCAAATGATGTCAATGGATCACCAACAGCTGGGATCTCGAAGAGCATGGTAGAAGAAGTTCAGTCTGTAAACGATGAAGAAAATCAAAAGGTACTGTCAGGCTTTCAGATATTATTGTGGGAGGGGGCGGTGCCTCCCCATCCCCCTCCCCCTAGTGTCCGCTACCGCATGTGGGACTCAGTAAAGCCAATAAGTTCCGCACTATCAAGCTCCAAACAAAACAACAGAACAACTTATGACTTTAATTTTTTCGTATATCATTGTAGCTCCAACAACGATGTGACGATCAAGAACGAGAGATAGCTGAGCTCAAGAGGACCGTTTCTCTGAAAGATGACCGCATTGCGAAACTGGAGCGTGAACTCGCATCGAAGAACGCCGAAATCTTGGACACTAAGGACGAACTTTCCAAGAAAATCGATGAGCTGAGAGAAGCGAACCAGAGATTGAAAATGAAAATGCAAACAGACTCTACAGATGGCAGACGAGGCGAAACTACGATAGTCAAGAGCAGCCAGGTGAGCGTGCAAAGCATCCCGGACAGGCCCAAACAGCTGGTACAGGAGTCCATTACGTCATCAAAGAAACGTCAGATGTCCCTTGAAGACCATGATATACACCGTGCGTTAGATGATGTCCATAGAGAACCTGTGGGGTCTTCGTATCGAGATTCCGGTGGTAGAAATGACCCGTTTTATTCAACATCCGGTAGTACCGGAACTTCGTACAGTGCAAACACCCGGGATACCAACACCCGGGATACTTACTCCGGGAGTACGAATACCCGGGATACTTCATCCGGGAGTGCCAAAACTCCATACAGGAAACAGGACTCGGAAGAAGAGTACCATTTGGAGAATATCGAAGCAGAGCTCGAGTCGTTGCGCGAAGACCTGGCTCGCACGCGGGAAGTGCGTCACGGTAAAACCAACGTGAAATATGTGAGTGAAGAAAGTTCCCCGGGCCATACCAGAACTGTATCCTCTGACCGGGGGGTTGATTCAAGCCAAAGAGGTGGGGGAGACGGCAAACGTATGGTAATCACGACTTCTTCACACGCTAGAGTACCGCGACAGGACTCTACGGAATACAGGAGTAGATTAGGTTCCCAAGATAAAAAGGTCAGTAAACTCATTCAAATGTTCAACATGCCTGATCAGAATAGAAATTCTCACAAGCGCGCCAACAGCGGGGATAGGCCGGCACGAGGTAATAGAGGTCAGCGGTCACGCAGCGAACGCCCAAAATCCGCGATTGATTTCGAGGCATGGAAACGAGTATTGAGTAAAAGTAACCAATGGAATTAAACGTATAATAACTGGTACCGGTAATTATTAATTAGAATTAAACATGTTAATTACCAACTGGAATAGATGTATTAATTATACTAACTAGAATGAAATTATTAACTGGAATTAAATTTATTAGAACTGCCATTATTATAAATCTAAAAGCAGGAATGAATCGTATAATAAGAATAATCATTGATATTATTAACAACTTATATAGAACGAGATAAAATAGCAATTGTAAATAATTCTTCTACTTATTATTAAACACAGTACTAGATACTTATTTAATCGCAGTGTAATCTTTAATTATAAATTTATATAAACATTAATTCAAATTTAATTAATTACAATGGACGATTAATACAAAATACGTTAGAAAAATAGGATAATATAAAATTATTAAAATTATTCGTAAAATTTTGACTGATAATTGTAATTCTGTTACGTTAAATTTTGTGATTGTTTAAATGTAGTCTGCAAAACATTCGTTCACATACCTCAGCAAGAAAGCAAAGAGAAAATGTAGATGAATCCAGGTTTTCCCAAGTCTGGAACAAGCTGTTAACAACTTGTAACAACCTTGTTGATATTATCAGACTTGTTGCAAGGTTGTTCCAACAAGTCCGATACAGTCATGACATAACGATATTGTTACAACCTTGTGTCATCAACCTTGTAACATTCTTGTTTATCATGATTGTATCAGACTTGTTAGAACAACCTTGTAACAAGTCTGATAATGCCAACAAGCTTATTGCAATTTGTTAACAGCTTGTTCCAAACTTGTTACAACAACTGGGAACAAGCAGTGCGAACACAACTTGTCGACAGCTTGTGAACAGATTCATGTACACACGTAAGAACGCACAAGTTGTTAGAGGTCTGCGAACAAGTTGTGACAGATCTGTTCACAAGCTGTCGACGAGTTTTTTTCGCATTGCTTGTTCCCAGTTGTTGTAACAAGTTTGGAACAAGCTGTTAACAACTTGTAACAAGCTTGATGGCATTATCAGACTTGTTACAAGGTTCTAACAAGTCTGATACAGCCATGATATAACAAGAATGTTACAAGGTTGATGACACAAGGTTGTAACGACACCATTATATCATGACTGTATCGGACTTGTTGGAACAACCTTGCCACACAAGTCTGATAATGTCATCAAGCTTGTTACAAGTTGTTAACAGCTTGTTCCAAACTTGTTGACAACTTGGGACAAGCAGTGCGAACACAACTTGTTGACGGCTGGTTAGCAGACTTGCTACAATGTATGAGATTTTTACGTGTGTACTAGGCACTTGTTTGCAGACCTGTAACAACTTGTGCGTTCTTACGTGTGTAGTAGTTGTAGATTTCACGACCGCATCCGCACTTATAGCTGCAGTTAAATACAAGTTGCTGCGAGCTTATTGTCATCAACTTGTTAACAACTTGTTACGTGCAGACGATATCAGACTTTTGGGGGCAACTTGTTGCGAGTCTGTTTGCCTCATCAACCTTGTTACAAGATGATGCAAACTTGTTCCAGACTTGTCAAAAACTGGGAACAAGCAGTGCGAACATATCTTGTTGACAAGCTGTGAGGTTTTTTGCGTGTAATTTTGACCTGCTGTTTTCATTTGTGGTATTTATAGAGCGCTAACAACAAATTTTAAATTGACTTCAAAAGCGTTCGGTTCCCAATTACCAAAATAAAAGAAACATACGCTGCCCACGTGCTACAACACCCCTGTGACATATAACTGATCCTAAAATTTTGCATTCCATTTTTTCGCTTTAGAGTTACTTGTAAGCGAAGAAGAATTTTAAGTTGAAAAATGTCGACCTGTATTCCAGCGATCTCGAATGAATAAAATAATTTTATCGAGCGACCACAAAGACTCGACTTGAAATACAATACTCCATAATAATTTTTTTTTAATGTATATTTTAGGACATGACAAAATGTATATCCACCAAACCAATATGTATTCTTAGGTGTAGATATTAGAATTAGTAAATAATCAGATGCTTCGTTAGTCTCGCCTAATAATTATCCACCAATTTTGTGGGTAGGAGACTAACGCTACATCTACAATCAAAAAGTGTATGTATGTTTTTGTATTCTGTTATCTATTGTTCTCTATCGACCAGTTCGCCCCTTGCAGTTTTCATCTATTATTGCCGCAGATGGTGGTGTACCGAGACCATTCCGAGGGGAGGGGCGGTGGGTCATGTGTTCCTCTGCAGCCAACCAAATTACTAACCAAATTACCGAGCATTTCCAATCAATTTACAAGCAAGTCACATTTTCCCTACATGATCTCTGTTTTACTGACAAGTTTTCTCAAAAGTGGGGGTGTTGCACCCCGACACGCCTCTGGTTGTAGGATGATCATAGCCTACACCGTAGCTACGTCCTGCAATAACTTAATTTCCTACCGTTGTCTCTTTTCACCATAGAGCCGTTTTAACTAAACATGCAGGACATACAGCTATTTCAATTAAGGTTGTCCACGAGCAAAGCGGAAAAGCTGGGAATCGCTTTGAAAATTCATTAATTTGTTGGCGATTCCCAGCAGCCTTTCGCGCTCGTATTCGACTTTTCCTCTTTGCTCGTGGCCAACCTTAATTGAAATAGCTGTATACCTGCGAATTGTCATATGCTGCCTGTAATCACCCTAGTGTCCGAAATGGCATTGATTCAGCACCTACTACAGTATTTTAATGTTAACCCATTAAGTGTCGGCACTCTCCCCTTGATGAGTAAAATCGTCTGGCGTTAGACAGAGTAAAATAATAAAGTAGGGTGCATCAGGGCACAAAGCAACTTCATGGGTTAAAACAACTAAGGTTAAAACAGAAAGATGTAAACAGTCCTTTTTAAATAGGTGTCTTTTTTAAAACAAATTTAGTTAAATACATATTATTGTCTAATAATTGTCTAATAATTTAAGTTAGATACATATTATTGTCTATATCTAATAAGACTTGGTAGTAATAATAATAATAATAATTACAGGATAAAATGTGCTGTAATTGCAGTTGTTATACAACTTGCCACTCCAAGTTCAATCCATAGTGTTTGAGAATACCCAGTAAATGTTCACTCATCCTTCGAGTGCTGGATTAAATGCAGTCCAATACAGAAAGAAACATAAGGATACAAGCATATGTATACAGAAATGAGCCTAAACCTAGTCCTTATATTTTTATTTTTAATATTAATTTTTATTATTCAGCATGCTTTTCACATTAGAAGACTGGAACATAGCAATTTGGGGGCGGGGTGGAGGAAGGGCAAAAGCGAAAAATAGAAGGCATTGTTACAAGGCATCCTGCCTTTCATTTTGCCTGTTACGTCATATTTGCCAAATGGTAACCCAAAATTGCCCAAAGCCAGCTGAGACAGCCGAGTAAAGGTCTAGGGTGCACAGACATGACATGTGAGCATAGGTATACAGGAGGAAAAAATAACGGGGGGAAGGTGCTGACAAAAATTTGCCCGACCTTGATCGAGATTGCCCAACCTCAGAGGCCCAACCTATTTTAATGCACATCTTGCTTCCCCAGGTGCACACATTAGGGGGGGGGGGGTATAGGGGGTGACACCCACCCCCAACATGAAATCGGATTAATATTGCTAGTCTGCTTTTGATCCAAAACAGATGATCATTTTGTGCGTGCAATATGTCGAAAAGAAATAAACATGGGTGCACATTGTTAATAGATGTATCATGAAACTTGCAGAATGTCTGAGTTTTTTTAAAAACCTGGTGTAGAACGAGCTTGGCTTTTGCCATATGTTCAATGAAAACAAAGGTGAAGTGTTTATTTTCAAAGTCTACTTCCAGGCTTATATACCTGCATCATGAAATCATGTGTTTCATGTACTTTCAATCTTTGGAATTCTGTAGTCTTACTCCAAAGTGCTGGGACTCTAGATTTCAAGATTTTCTCATGGGCAGCATGCCCGCGGACCTATGCCTCAGACCCCTCTACAGCTGTCTGGGGGAGCATCACTACCCCCACTTTCGCTACCCTGGCACCACCAATTATTGAAAGAATAGTGTGAATCGAAATTATAAAATAACATGTATATAACGCGTATTCTGATTGGTCGAAAGCCGTGTTTGGATCAGGCCATCCAAACACGGAAGACTACCGTGTTGTTGTTATTTTATAAAACAATTACTTTATGGTTTCCGTGTTTGGATGGACTGATCCAAACACTTGGGAATGTTGCTCGAGTCGCTCGCTTTTCTTAACTCTCGCAACATTCCCGCGTGTTTGGATCAGGCCATCCAAACACGGAAACCATAAAGTAATTGTATACTATAGTGAAGATGTTCAGACCTTTCAACTTTGCAGAGAAGTTAAGAGTGAGATTGGGGATGTGGATGACACCTTTGTAAAAGTCCGGGGGTCCATGGGCGTACCGGAAGGAAAAAATTAGGGGGGCGAAAAGAAATTTGCCCGACTTTTCGGGATTGTGTCTGACTAGTACCGAAAAAATTTTTTCCCCCCCTCGCCAAAAAATTTTCGGTCAGTGTACCATTTTAGGGGTCCAAAAAATTTTCCGGACATACCAAAATTTTTATGCGTGAGATTTACTAAACGTGGCGTGAGAGCGTGAGACTCACGCCGAATGCGTGAGAGTTGAGAGGTCTGGATGTTATTTACTCAAGGATACCTTGGCAATACCAGACGAATACCAGGAAATGTAATCCAAGGAATTCAAAACTTCAAAAAGCAACCCCTCCCTATATGACCCTGATTACAAACAACAAATGTTTATTCACTTACCCAATGGAATCAACAAAGCCCATCGTTTTACGTTTGAGCCAGCTCCAAAACGTAGTCAGTTTCTCCGCTATGCCGTAAATACTGTGGTCCACATACTCGCCTAAGGAAATTTTACCAGATATCACGTCACCAATGGCCCAAGATTGAAGACTAACCTCCCGGCCGTACCGACACCATGTTGCAAAATGCTCGCAGTTGTGGGTTAAGAAGTTGTAATCCCACGATTCGCCATCCCTATCTCGAGCTGCCTTCACGATTTTATGAGGATCTTGGATCTTGTTATGAAACGCTGGTGCGTTGTCCAAGTGATTATTCTTTCTGACAAGTTCCCCCTTGAACGCGTCCTCCATGCGTTGTCTTGAGATAACGGTCTTTCCGTTCTCCTTATTGCTTGGGGTGATAACATGGACTATCTCGCCATTACCAATGTAGATCGCGAAATGGCTGTAGAACCATTGAGGGATAAAGTTGCCCTTCTTTTGAATCATATCTCCCGGCACGAGGTGGTTCACCAAACTTCGCGGATCGACAAAATCACTTTTGACATGTTGCACGGCTTCTCTGGCTTTCGCGTTGTCGTATTTTACCAAAGCTGTTGATCGGCTGGGCTCTGTTTGTGTGGATAAGAAACTCCCCATTTTGTTGTCTATATTCCTGGAGTATAGCGTGTTGACTAATCTATGTACGTTGTTCGTACTACTATAGTATGTACTGACTGACTGTACTACAAAGTGCAGTGCTAAACACTTTCGCTTCTCTTCCTATACTGTACGTGCTGTGCTAAACACTTTCGCTTCTCTTTCCGAGAAATCACAAGACAAAGAAAAAGTCCGCGCTTGAATAATGTAAACACAATACAAAGAAAAATTCCGCTTAAAAATAACGTAAACACAATACTAAGAAACGAATGAATTTTTACTGAACGAAATGACCGGTAATGTACGTTACGGCAAACCATTCCGTTACAGCGCAAACGTAGCTAGTGAATTTTTAACGAAATGCTAGCTCGGGTAGCGTTGCCGCTGTAGTGTAAACGCGGCCTCTCAGTTATGAAGGGATCTTTGTTTGCAGTGTGGGTTTCCCAGTGGCGCCTCCAGAATTTTATTTTAAGGGGGCAACTTAAAGTCTATTTACACTACAAACTTTTTGCCTATTCAACCGCTAATTAATATTCCTTCCCCCCAAATTGTTGAGAGAAAGCGCTTCAACAATTAAAAAAATGTTTTCTGATATTTATATATTTCATATTATAGTTTTCGTGGGGTAAAGTAGCATTATTACTTAAATTTTTCCTAAATTACTCCAAATTTTTATAGCTATGTCCTATGTCTCTTATGAGTATTACTTTTTAATTGAAATTACTGAAAAAGTGAAAGGACAACATAACTTATAAACAGTATTTTTATTTGTTGACCAAATGGCCATCATTAAAATAAATACAACAACTTATCTAAAGATTTTAGATATCAAATTAAAATCACATTGTACAAATATATTATTCAAATTATTAGCGGTATACATATAGTTAAGAATTGTACTCGAATATTTTCTTACAAAATTTCAATTGAAATCAGTGGCACAGACACTGCGGTTGATTTTACTTTCATAACTTTTAAGTCGATGATGGCTGACAATGGCCAATGCAATAGATTGTTTGAAATGTATAAGTTCTATTCCAGATCAGATGCAGATAAAAACTGCTAATCTAGTCCACAACTTTATATGATTTGCATTTTCCTAGACCTAGTTATACTATTTTTTCAGTTTCTCGAAGAATAGAATAGACAAGTCCAATAGTCCATAACTCGTAAGTCATAACTAGCTCAAAAATGAGTAAACCGAGTCAGTTGACTCGCCAAGAATTTCAAGTATAGTATAACTATAGGTATGCGAGTTATCCATAGTTGTGAATTGTGTAGCAATGATAAAACAGCTGTTTCAAAAAAGGTTGTCCTTCAAAAACCTCAAACCTTAAACTCTAAGCGCACAAGGTGTGATGGGTAACTTCTTACTTAAGGCTTAAAACGTGCGAATGTTGCCCAATCAAAGACCATCAAAAGCCATAAAAAGAAGGTACCCATCGCGCGCTTAGAGTTTAGGGTTTGAGATTTTCGAAGGACAACCTGTTTTGAATTAGCTGTTTTCAACCTCTCAGGGTAGCCCGCGTGCAGGCCCAAGGGAAGAATAGTGGCCCTTGGGCCTGCACGCGGGCTACCTCTCAGGGCAGAGGCTTGTGTTTCACTTGTTATGATTGGTCAGTTATGCCCCTTAATAAAGGTTTAAAAAGTGAACACAGCTTTCGTATTATAACAGTATCTAATGATTAAAAGTCCACCAAATGGTATAAATCATGATAGTTAAAACCATAAAAATCTATTTAAATAGTATAAAAATTCTCACGTAAATGCACACGAATTATAAGCTTTTATATGCATATTTATAACCATCTCCAGTACTGACCCTCAGTACTTTATGTAAGTCTTTATATACTCTATTCAGCTGTAGCTTGAAATACTGATAGGTGGTCCGATGGGACTCGTGGGGTGACTTGTGATCACTGTGTCGCCGTTCACGGAATACCGACGCTGGTAAAAAAAATAAGCATATCATGTATAGGGTGACGATATTACAGTAACTTAGAGGAATCCTAAAGTGCATATACTGATAAATAGACTTGATACAAGTCGACACGTATTATTTAGCTGCGGGATTGAGCTCAAAGTGCGGATTTTAGGCTAGTTCCTCGGGTAGAGGAGAACTGATCACGTGTTCGGCTAGTTGTGTTTGTGGCGTCAGATATAACCCAATCCCTATCCCTATCTCTAAGCCTAATCCTTAATCTAACCCTAACCCTAACCTCAACACTAATCACTATAACTAACTGATGACGTAATCTGTGATGCAAATTGTTCTACCCGAGGAAGTACCCGGATTTTAGCGATGCTTCATTTCACTTTTTCTATAGTCCGAATGACTGAAATTCCACACATATACAGCTCACTGTGTGAATCGAGTAGTCGACCAAACTCGACCAAGATGGCGGAAATTGACGTCCAACAATTATGAGGAAGAAGTTATTTCGCTGACCTCAGAATGACATTTCGTCAAAACGTTTTTCTTCAAGATTGGTTTAGAAACAAACTTGGAGTAGGGTTAGGGTTAGAGTTGGTGTTTGGAATAGGGTTAGTGTTAGTAAAACCGTTGCTTTGTTACGTTTTGTCACTCTGAGGCCAGCGAATAACCTCTTCCCAGTTATGAAGGTCGTAAACAGTTTTAATAACATTTTTCCAGCTAATTCCAGTTTTTTTTCTAACGGACCGTATCGCTAAACAAGTTTTCAGTTCATAACACCATAATGATATTCATTAAGGTTACAGAACACCTTTGAGTGTTAATTTTGCCTAAATTTTTTTTATTCGTTTCCATGAAAGCATTAGACTAGTTCTACTATCTGACCAAGTTTGAACGAAAAATGTTGAAAACTCGTTGAAAATACATTTCGCTGCAACATTTTGCTGCTTACATTGAAAATGTAATATTCAAATTCAATTTTCGCCCGAAGAATTTTACGGTAATTACTGATTTTCAAACGAGTTGTTCTCCTGCGGGTTTTAACCAATTTTTCTCAAATTTTCACAGGACATAGTTAAAGACGTCAGTTTCAAAATGTGTTCGGCTTTTTTTTAATTTTGGATATTTTAATAATAAAGAGCAATTCACTCAAACAATTCAGAAATATATTGCAGTCGTCAAAGAAATCGCCATATCAGCTGAATGACGAAATAAACAAAAATTTCCGATCACAATTTTTTAGAACAACTATTTTGCTGTATAAAAATGATATTTTCATAAATATAACTTAAAATCTCATCTGTTGGTGTTTCACTCTTTGTAACAATCTCCTCTTTCTCGATTGCATCATTGTCAGTTGTACCATTTTCTTTACAATTTTGTACATTATCTGTGGCTGATGTATGCTCTGAATTTTCATCAACTTTTAAAACATTTTCAAAAGTGTAACGGTACCGCGATTTAAGATCTTCCTGAATAATTCTTACATTATTTTATTGTTTGTTAATTTTACAACTTTACCATATTTTGCATGCACTGGCGAATATTTGGTGAAAATTTTATTAAAATCAGACTGATATTGAGCGCGCAGTAGCGATTTTCCGCAAAACGCCAAAAAGGGTGTCCTGTAACCTTACTAATCGATGTCAAAATACGAAATTTCGGCACATTCCTTGCCAGCTTCATGTTAACCGCGGAGACAAAACAATAGAAGGGGACTGGAACTGACGTCGAATAACTCTTCAATTTCCGCCATCTTAGGCTTGGCTTCACTTTTTTGGGCTCGTGTTCTCGCTCCAGTTTTATATAGAGCTCACTGGAGTGGATTTGTTAGTTAGTTTACTTTTATCAGTTGGACTCATCACAAGTGACTCGTAGCAAGTCTAACTGATATCAAGTCAACTCACTTCTCCCATCCTTGTTCTGGCATACTCGATCCTGATTCCTCCTCTTACGCCGTCCGAAGATGGTAACACTTGCCTAAAGAGAATTAAATTTTCAGCTAATCTGGATAAAATCTTGCACTCGGTAAAATGTGTTCGTATTAAAAAGACTTGTAACAATGCTGTTATTTTACCAAAGTGCGTCAACTACTAGTTTGTCGTTCGCATTTTGTTGAATAGTATGGATTAGTTATATAAATATAATATATAATAATAAGATGAATGTTCTCGAGTGAATTTCCATAACTCATAAGTTTTTTTCCGTCCCATGAGGACGATTTCAATATACAGTATATTCAGTTTGGTCAGTGGTGCCTAAATTACTTTGAATTTGTACTCGAGTAAAAGTAGAAGTAATTAACATTAAAACGACTTGAGTAAGAGTAAAAAGTACTGGAGGCAAAACGTATTTAAGTAAAAAGTACGAAGTATCCTTAAAAAATACTTGAAGTACAAAGTAAAAGTAAAAGTACTATTGTCTATAGCGTGTAGGGGGGGGGGGGGGGGGGGGGGGG